CCCAGGACACAAAGCCGGTACGTGGTAGCCTCAGATTTCAAAATCAATGCCCAAGTGCTCTTTCCAACACACAACTCAGAGATGCTCCGCGCTTTAGGCTTTGTGTTAGGTTGGGGTCACTAACGAAGCCAAGCCAGTGACACGTGTGTAGATAGAGAGAAATTCCTATCAAGAAATGGCTCGCAAGTGTAGATGTGGACAAGTCCAGGTTCAGGCAGGTTCCAAGTCAGTGGGTCAGAGGTTAAGCAGAAGGGTTCTCCTAACTCCTGTAGCTCTGGGGGCCTATGATCCCTAAACCAGCAAGAAAACCACAGGCTGGTGGCAGCAGAGGCCGAGAAATCCAAGGTCAGCAGATTTGGCTGTGGCTGCAGAACTCTGCAGGTCAGATGGCAGGCCCAGGACCACCCCCAGGATCAGCAAGCCACCTGGCAGGCCATTCACTCAAGCCCAAAGAACTAGAGGTCAATGAGCCAGGTGCCGGATCCAGACACTGAAAAAGCAAGCTAGCTTTTCTGCAGTCTACTTGCATAAGTAGACCCTGACGAAATTTCCTTTCAATTGCATCAGTACTGTGGCCTGAATAAGGGAATTGCACTGCACCCTAATCTTTGTACAACTGATTGGCTGCTCACTGCAGATCGCATTGTGGAGTTGATTATATTATGTTAGGTCACAGCATAGGGAATTGGCAGCTTTAACTGCCAAACCAGTGAGAACCCAGGCTCAGCCAAGTTGACATAAAATGTGTCACAGACCTATTTTCAAATGTATTCAATTGTTTGCGGGGAGGGGTGGGGGAGACCTCCCCCTGGCTAGTGCAAAGAGAAAGACAGTTTAATAAACATCACACCCAGCTCTCGCTTTCTCTTTATAGTTCAGCTCTCAGAACTATCTCCCCAAACGGCAAACAGCACACAAGGATCACAGGCCAGGAGACTTGGGAGGCTTGCACACCCCCACGACCTCCAGCGCGCCTCTCATCCTATAATCTGGAAAATAGAAGCATGCTCAAAAATGATGCAAGGTGCTATGTAAGCACAAGCCAAGGAGACAGATGCTCTAGCGAAAATTGGGAACCACTCCAAGGAGTCCACTTTCATTTCTGCATCCTTCCCAATTTAATCCTTCTGATCAGATTAATTAGTATACCAGAAGAAATGTTCTCAGCAGGAGCCTCTTTTTTTCATGAACATGGGTAACCTGCCCAAACCAAACTAATTAAGTAATGCTCATACTTTGATGCGTCTGAGCCAGGTCTTTGTCTAGCAAGCTTCCCTAAGGCCACCTTATCCTGCCTCCTGGACCCCAGCTGGAAGCTTCTATTCCCCCACAGTACTAATTTCCCTATGGAGCTCAGCGAAAGGTCGAGGATTCAAACCTGCCAACCCCTCTGTGGGAGAAAAATGAGGCTTTCTGCTCCTGCTAAGATTTACAGCCTCAGAAACCCTATCTGAATGGTTTTGGTTTTGTGTGATTGCCCTTGCTCTGTGCTGGGATGTCCAGAGCAGGGATGTTCTTTTATCAGGACCAGAATTCTGGGCCCTGGCAGGGTCCTTTTGGAGTAGACCATTCTCCTGCTGCTGATTAAAAATCTTGGCTCATACTTCAATGCCTCCCTGAGCTTTAGATCATTCCAGCCCAAATTTCCTTTTCTTTTTAGCATACCTTTAATGCTTAGAGTTGGCACTTCATGATGTGAGACATATTCTGCTTCTCTGTGTTATAAGGACAAAGTTCACATGGAAGAAGCACACCAGCCTGTGTGATCACGAGGTGTCGATGGGATCAGGTATCAGGCATCAAAGACCCAGAACAAAAAATCATATCAATGTGAATGAGAGAGAGGGCAGAGTGGAGACCCAAAGCCCATCTGTAGACAATTGGGCATCCCTTACAGAAGGGTCACAAGGAAGAGATGAGCCAGTTCTGGTGCACTATAGCACTGATGAAACATACAGCTTTCCTCTAGTTCTTTAATGCTTCCCCCCCATACACTATCATGGCCCATGACCTTACAAATCCGGCTCCAGAATGTCCACAGGTACAGAAAAGAGCTGGAAACACAGGGAATCCAGGACAGAGAAACCCCTTAGGACCAATATTGAGAGTAGCCATACCAGGAGGGGAAGGGGAAGAAAGGGGAAACCAATCACCCCGATATATATATAACCCCCTCCCAGGCAGACGGACAACAGAAAAGTGGGTGAAGGGAGACATCGGTAGTGTAAGACATGAAAAAATAATAATTTATAAATTATCAAGGGTTTATGAGGGAGGGATGGTTGGGGAGGGAAGGGGGGAAATGAGGAGCTGATACCAAGAGCTCAAGTAGAAAGAAAATGTTTGGAAAATGTTGATGGCAACAAATGTACAAATGTGCTTGACACAATGGATGGATGGATGGATTGTGATAAGAGCTGTATGCGCCCCCAATAAAATGATTTTTTTCAAAAGAAGAAGAATTCTGGGGATAATGTGGTTCAAGCGCTTGGCGGTTTACCAAAAGATTGGTCATTAGAACCCAAGTGCCACTCCATGGGAGAAAGAGGTGGCCGTCTGCTCTACGGGTTTACAGTCTTGGAAAGAAACCTCTGAGGCCGCTTTATTCTATTGGCATCAACTAGACAGTAATAGATGTGTGTGTGTGTGTGTGTGTGTGTGTTTTATGCACAGCATTTTTTCCCCTTCTTTCCTAATTAAACAGAAAGCCGTAGGTGGTGCTTGGCTACTAACAGAAAGAGTGTTGGCTTGAACCCACACGGAGGTGCCTTAGCAGAGGACCTGGTGATCTGTTCCCCCGAAACCCTGATGGAGCAGCTCCACTCTTCCTCCAGGGGGTGG